TTAAAGCCTAAAATGCCTTCAATTATGGTTTTATGGGCTTTTCTTTTTTCCTTCACTTTGTAACCTATGAGAGGGCTTTGCGGTCATTGCAATAAATTTCAATTACTTACTTATATTCACATTAAGCTGAACACCGCCGTCTGTCCACGTCTGAGTTCCCCAGAAATCTCTGATAATGTAACCGGTGACCGGCTACGAACTGATTATAAAACAAGAAAGGAAAGCTAACTTCGGGCGGAGCCGAAGTTGATATACCCTTGCAGAATATTCCATAAATTATATTCTCCAAAATTATTCATATGATGCATTCTTAATACTCATAAAGAGTCCCAACTTCCTAACTTTAAAAACACCAAAGTTATGACATTTCCAATCGTTCAGTTATATGGCAGCTATAAGATATAGTCGGCCGATCCTTATGAAATTTGGTGGGTCGGATTGATTGGCCAAAAATAAAACCCATAGAAAATCCCAACTTCCTAACTTTACAAACACCAAAGTTATGGCATTTCCGATCAATCAGTTATATGGCGGCTATAGGATATAGTCGTCCGATCCTTATGAAATTCGGTAGGTCAGAATGATTAGCCAAAAATAAAACCCATAGAAAATCTCAACTTCCTAACTTTAAAAACACCAAAGTTATGGCTTTTCCGATCGTTCAGTTATATGGCAGCTATATGATATAGTCGCCCGATCCGGCTCGTTCCGACTTATATACTACCTGCAATAGAAAGACAACTTTTGGGAAAGTTTCAAGCAGATAGCTTTGAAACTGAGGGACTAGTTTGCGTAGAAACGGACGGACGGACGGACAGACGGACAGACGGACGGACAGACGGACAGACGGACATGGCTAGATCGACTCTCCTGGTGATGCTGATCAAGAATATATATACTTTATAGGGTCGGAAATGTCTCCTTCACTGCGTTGCAAACTTTTGACTGAAATTATAATACCCTCTGCAAGGGTATAAAAATGTATCTGCTGGTCCCCACTTGGAACGACAAACCGATCTTAATAACTTAGTATGAGACTTGAATTTATGAAAATCACAATGTGAAGCACCTCGTGTTAAGGTTTGACAAACGAATTTGTTTATACAGAATACAAGATAAAAAAATTGTAATTTTTTTCAAAGACCATCAATTGCCATGATGGTGCTATGGACAAATTAAACTATCCGTACACTTATAATAAAATTAGCCCTATGCCTAAGCTATATAAGCTATATTTTAGATATTTAACATTAAACTTTATTTTTGCTAAAACCAAAAAATTTTTAAGTCTCAAAAAATTTGTTCTAAAAACAAGGAAATATTTCTACATTTTAGAAAAATTATTATCAAAAGTAGTGACTCTCGCCATAAACTAAAAAACAACCAAAAACTTTACATATAAGTAAAAATGGTATGGCTGTCCTAAAAAGTACTTTACAAGAAAAAATATTCTTATTTTCTATAACTTAATAAACACTTTTTAAAAATTGTCAGTTTGAAACTAAATTAAGACAACCACAAAAAAAATGTTATCTATAATATAAATTTTTGTTTTTGCATCCTTAGGCGCGTCGAACGTATCGAGTTCACAATTCTTACCAGTAATTTAAGCAGCGCAACATTTTACATTCTCTTTTTATTTTACATGTGTTTTTTTAAGTTTGAAACAACTAAAATGTTTACTTTTTTTTTATTCAAAAATTTTTTAATTTAACATTGAAATATAAGAGTTAATAATAGTTAATTGTTAAATAATTTCTTTAAATATTACAGTGCATTTATCTTTTTCTTTTGTGATTTTTTTTCGAGTTAATTTTTTTTGGGCTTTCGTAAGCGTTTCGGACAATAAAATACAATAAACTTTATCTAGAGAAAACTAATTTCTCTCCTCTATTTGTATATGATACGTAAACAACTTAAAACTGAATTTTTGTAATAAAAAATGATATATATTTTGGGTTTTTGTCAATAATTTAGGCATTTAAGCCCGTTCCGCACCTGGTGGAAGCTAAGCTTTTCGCATGAACAAACGCAGACACTGAGTTTTATTCATTAGTATCTCCACACGAGTACACCACCTAACTCTGGTTTGGGTTGGAGCCCCAGGACCTTCGAGTCCGCAAACCCCTCGCGTTCGTTTTTGCTGTGTTTTCAGTTCATTGCTCTTTTTTCCCGTTTTTCGGCACAGAATGAACCGCCCGCTGCGAGCAGTTGGAGCTCTTCTGAATGCTGCCAGTATTCGAGTGTGTGCGTAGCTCCCATTAGCCAAAGGATTTATATTACAAGCGCACACATAAAAGGCACCGCAGGATATTTGGGTTTATTTGAATTTAATTGTAGTTTTAATCCGAAAGGATGAAGGTGTTCCATCTGTTTCCCACACTGCCTTTAATAGTGCTGTGCTCAGCGTTTATTTTCCAAACTAAAACTAATAGGAATGCATTTTTAATAATTTCAGACAAACCGGCTACTCGATTTGGTTTTATGGAGCATAGTCCTCAAAGTCACGATTATGGAAAAGTCGGTCAACCCACAAAGACCAAAGGGAAAATGAGGGGGAGGTTCCACACGAAACATCAATAAACGGCGAGATCAAAGCATAATAATGTTCACCAAGCTGTTTTTCTTTCCGCACTTTTGGGGATTTGTAATATGAAAATCCTTTGTAAGGAGTTTTTGAAGGTGAATAGTTTATAACTTTGTTACCAATTTGTAATTTTTTAAAAATGGAAATAAATGTATAGTCAAGAATTTTTTTTTAAGTTCCTTATAACCATAAATAAAATTACATAAAACTAAAAACACATTTTCAACAATCAAACAAGATATATTTTTTTTAACTTATGAAATTAAGTTTGATGAAAGAGCCTTGGCTCAAAAAAAAAAAAATAATAAACTCTTGAAACAAGAAATATTTTGTTAAACATGCAATTTATTTTCTTTAAAGGGCACATTATTTCTAAATTTATTCTTAATAAAATGATAGCCAAGGAGGTAAGTGGATTTCATCAGTCGATAATTTTTTTGTTGGTTTTTTCCTTTTGCATTTTTCTTTGCATTGTTACTGAGTATCGATTTAATTTTGTAAATCAGTGAAATTATGACCTTAATATCAAGGTCTTTTTTACCCTGTAGCCGCATCTGTTATTTATAAGCAAAATATAAAATACAACAAGCCGGAGTACAACTTTTGCGAAAACCGGATGATAACAAAAGTGTAATCGTTTTTCGGCAAACGATTTTACTGGGAACAATTTGAGAAATGTTGCCAAACTCTGACGGAAATATGGCATTAAGAATTTCCATCCACCTGTGCATTTTCAAATGCCTTCTGTGGTGCCCTCGTTCTTGTTGTTGAGATCCAATGACCCAAAGTCATCCACATATATAAAAAAGAATAACTTGATTAAAGGTAAAAATAAGTTTTGGCGCTCCCAATATTTTCAGATAAAGGAAGAAAACCAGGAAAAAGAAGGAATTCTTGGCATAAAGTTGGACGAAAGTTGAAAATATTTGTTTTCGCTGAGACTTATACATTATTCCGCACCATACAAATGTATCTGAATATAACAACAATAACAGAGGGCTGGCAACTTAGATAAAGTTCAAAGGAAACAAGGCTCAGGAAAAGGAAAGAGAGGGCGTTATCGCAGAAGATGTAACAAAATAAAAAGAAAGTTGTGTCAACAAAATGAAAAGTTGTTCTGTGGCTTTGACTTTTCCTTTTTTTTGCAGTTAATAAAAACGCTTTAGGTGCACGTGCACATGGCAGAGGGCTGAACTTAAGGTTTCATATTTAATCCCGTTATCATTTGAAAGTGGGAAAGTCCCTTTTCACTGTTTTAATTCTTTTAAAAGTAAACCTAAATGTTTTTTTCCGTATGAGCAATATCTCATCGTTTACTAAATAAAAATCCGGCTAACAAAACATATCGGCAAAGTATATGAAAGAACTGTGCCGACTATATTTGTTATTGCTGCTGCTGCGAGGTTGTTTACCCTACATTTTCTTTAATGTTTATGGGCTTTTATGTCATTAACTAATTTAGTTTAATGAAATTGTTGCAGCAAATTTCATGGGTACTATTTTGCCTTGTTATTCAAATAAAGTGTTTATTTAAGAAATATTTTAATTGAGAAAATTAGTTAGGGCCTACCATATCAGGTCCAAGCCATTGGAAACAGTTACAGTAGAATCCGTTTATAGCGACTTTCAAAGGACCGACGATTTTACGTCGTTATACCCGGAAGACGCACTAACCATATAGGTTTGTATCATATACAAACCAACCAAGCCATCGAGTTTTCATCGCAATAACCGGACGGACACTATAAGCGGAGTCGTTATAACCGGATTCTACTGTATATTGAAAAGACCAGCAAATGTAACTCAAATATATTTTAAAGGGTATATACGTAATATTTAAAAATGTTAATTGATATACGCCTTTCTGTGGATATGGTATTTTTGTCTTTATCTTATTTTTTTCCTGTTTTATTGGCCATAGAATCTTAGAATTTGCGGTGTACACGATAACCGGTCACAGAATCATCTGAAATGAAAAAATTCAATTGCATTAGTTAAAAAACAAGATTTTTTTTTTTTTTCGATTTTTTAAAGCACTTGAAAGTCAAAAACACCGATTTTCGCCTAAAAAGTCGAGATATTTGTTGCTCTAAAAATAAATTAAAAAAAAAAAACTCGACAGCTTTACCTGAGGAATTTAGTTGAGAACAACTGTGCAAAATTTCAAAAAGATCCTTCCGATAGATTTTGCAGGATCGTGTACACCGACTTTGAAAAGGGTAACTTTTCAGGAGAGCGTTTTAAAGTTTTGGACACCCATACAAAACGAGCTAACTTACCTACGTTCAACTGCCCATAAGTTCGGAAGCTTTGCTCGGATCGATCTAAAACTAAAGATGTTGTGCATTCAGAAAAAAAATATAAAAAAATGCAAAAAAAAAATTTAAATACTTTACCCCCCCTTAAGGAGGAATTAACGTTTAAAAATACAAAAGTTTTTATTTTCTTTTTCAAGCTACTTTCACATAATATTTAAAAAATTTCGTTGCTAAAAGGCGTTGTCCTCTCTGTTGACATCTGTGAGATGCCCATGATTTCCAGATGAAGTAAATAAGTTCTCGTGTTGATTTGTGACCAAAATTCCCCTCCATGTTGGCCCCATCCCCGAACTAGTGTAATTGGAAGCAGATGTCTAAAGAGGTGGCTTTTCTTATTTTTCAATGGCTTCCAATTCTCAGCTGCACAAGGTACCTCAGCAAGTGGTCGTTACTGTCATAAGACAGGGATAAGTTTGGCTAGGATTGGAACTTAGTGAAGAAAACTTACTTACAAAAAAAAATGCTACATGCCATGAAGAGCCCAATAGATGGGCGGATGGCAGAGATTTCCCGGAAGTGCAAGAATCCTGGATGCCTATGATGTCGATTAACCCCTGTGCGAGGACTCTGAAAAGTGCCTTTACCGCTGCTCCCCCTCCAAGGGGACACAATTTTCATCGGGATAGAAACGGGGCATAAAAATGTCGACGGCCCGACGCAGTCCCCGCGATGTGGATCGTATATAAAACCTGGCCGGTGGCACGTTTGCGTCCAATGCCGCTTGAACCGCCCGCTTCTGTGCTTCGCATGTGTTCAGGCGACAACTCTTGAAGCTGAAGCCCATTTCCGCGATTTTAGAGCTGCCAAGACTAATTTCTCCATTGACGCCCATATCGCCGGTAAGACTGGGACTACGATCCCCTTGACAGGGATGCCTGAAGTAGGGGCCGTTCGGCCCGTAGGGATGGATCATTGGAGGTAGCAATTTGATTTCTCCTTAAAACTCAGATATCAAACTTAATAATTTTTAAATGTACTGGACGGACGGACTGACATTTCTTTTTAATAGCCTACTTATGTAAAGATCCAAACTATTTCATTATTTACATGTGCCCTTATACCCAAACTGCACAGAAATTTAGCTCTATTAAACTGTTTTAAAATAAATTTCTCTGCTTGTACTTTTTAAAGCCCTTAGATAATGGCTTCCATTTTATCACAACGGGTTATAGAAGTAATAACCTCACCGAAGATAAGATGACTGAAATGTGAATTCAAACTTTTTCCCGCAAAAAATATAGGGTTCGACACTTAAACCCTATTAAAGACAATGTGTATCAAAGTTTTCACTTCAAATGATATCAAAATATCGAAATAGTTGTAGTACTACAATAGTTGAAATGCGTTGAAAATGGGTTGAAATTGTCCTTTTTTTGATTTTTTGTTATTAGCTCTTAAAAGAGTATTCTTAAAATTCTTTAAAAAAATTATAATAAATAAATATTTGACAGCCTGTTCAGTTTTTCTTTAGGCTTTTAAGGTTTTGGATAGTTTTTGGTGGAAATACGCTGTAAATACACCATAACCAAAAACAGGCGAGTCGACATGTCCATGCTTGTCCATACTTTTGTAAATAGTATAGAGTTACATATATATATCCAACAGAAAGAATCCCTTCATCCGAATAGCTTGAAAATTAAAAGGGGTTAGTTTGGAAAAGAAATACATAAAAAAGAAAGAAACTACTATTAAAATGGGTGAATATACATTTTGTAAAACAATAATTTAACATTATAAAAGAAAATTACTACATTAATGACAATCAAAAGGCTCATTTTACATATGTATGTAAGTTAAAACATAGCATAAAACATAAGTTAATCACATAATCACATTGTGTCCTTCACTAACCTCCAATAGTACGTAGATCCTCCAAGTCAGTGATGCAATGAAATAACCTTAGACCAATAATTATAAGGCCCTTTAACCGGGTGCCAAAAATCATGACTGTAAGTTAGGTAAGTTAGTTTTCTTCTTTACTCCAATAAATTAAAGCATACAAATATTAAAAACAAAAAAGGAAAGGGCGGAACGCTCTCAAAATCTTGACATGATAAAGGTAATTATTTAGATTAGATTTCTAACGGACGTCGTGTCAGACTAATGGTGGAAATGCGAATTTTGCGAGGGAGGATTGTGGTGGTGTGATGAGGGATCGGGACCGTCAAAAGCCAAAGAGATACGAAAACAGACATTCACATGAATAAATAAAGAAGAAAATGTTTCCGAAAGCGAAGAAGAGGCGGGCGCGCTCACATCAACATTAAAAATGTATTTTAATGTGTCGCCTGTTTTGCCCATTTGGCTGGCTCTCCAATTTGACTGCTTGTTGTCGCTTTTAATGTATTTAATTTGGCAGGCAAATATACCTGCTACGGCGTATATGGGCGTGATCCGCACCACCCACCACCCAACACCTACCACCCACCACCCACCTGTCAAGCCGGAACAACAGACCATTACGCAAAAATTCTTCATTGCGTTTGTAAATCATAAAATGCTGTCAAATTTCCAAGCCCCGCCTTTTATGTGCTTGCCATGTTTGTCTTTGACTTTCAGCTAATTACTTGTGATTTAATTTCAAATTTTAATTAGCCACCAAAATTTAATTTTTGTGACGGCTCTGACAGGCGCTGTAGCATCCAACACTCAGACTCATGTGTTGCTGTATTAACGCCTTTAAGTTTTAAAAAGACAGCCAAAGTTCGGGGGAAAAAGTCAAAGTAATTCAATAAGCCATTGTTATTTCGAACTGCTTTGTGGCATAAATATTTTGAATGGTAAATAAATATTTTTGGTCACAATACGGAGAGTAACCTATATTTCTATGAATAAAATATATTTGAGTTTAATGATTTTTAAATAATTTACTATTTCACTAAATGTGTTAATCGATTAAATTATCGTGCAAACAACGCCAATATTCTTCTTCGCGATATTCTTGCCGAACATGGCAAAGCAAACGCCTTACTACACTATTAATTGATTGGCCGGTGAAATGAAACATTAAATTTTAACCTACGGGATTTAATTGCCATTTAAATCTTCCCACAGTCTTTAAACGGGATAATATTTTGGTTCAAGATGGACAACTATTCCCATTGACTTGCATCGTCAATTCGTAAATTTCGGTAGAAGTTTTACCTATTTTAAAACAAAACCTATAATGGCTGTACCAAATATTACCCCAGCAAAAAATGATCTAAAAGAAATATTTCGGAAACAATGAAGTTATGTTGATTTTCCGATACAATCGGCAGACAACACCACACTTTTTTCAGCCCCTTTTCTCACCCGGGCACTCAAGTCAACAAAAAATTTATATGATACATAAAAATATTTTCTATAAAAAAACATTTTCAATAACTCTGGATGAAGGTTCGCCTGGCCCTAGCGAAAAGATTTAAAAATTGAACTAACAAACGCCTGCAAAATATCTTCAACCGCAAAATTTGAAGTATAGAGGAATCAGTTTTATTAAAATAAATGTGATAACAATACCTCAGAACTATCCCCTATTTATATTTAAAAGTTTTTAAAGTTTTAAAAGGTATTATGTGGTTCAATATCAGAATGGCCTAATTCCAACCAACGTTCGAGGAGCTAAAACATAAGACAGTCCACAAAATTAATTTGTAAACATTAATCAAAATAAAAAAATTTTAAAAACCAAAGTGATAATTTTATTTTTAATTGCTTACACCCCTTGGATTTAAATTTAAATTTTAATTTAAAAGCCCTGGCAGGCGTATCGGGCCCACTGTGCGCTGCTATCTAAAGCTTTTAATAAAGCGCACATTAAAATATATATGTACCTTAGTATCTCAAAGATACAGTTCTGCGCTTCTCGAACAGTCAAGGTAAAACGTCCCTTATCCACAGCCCGGGATGGGGAATTCAAATCAAAAGCCGTGGGAATCAAAGGAACAGACAAGTGGAGCGGAAAGCTTTCAGTGCGTGAGCATTTGAGGGACGGAGTGGTAAAATTAAGCAGGGGGCATGTCCAGACCAAAAAATTTGTGGGGGTTCTGAAGCACTGCCCCGATTGTCCTGTAAAGAAGTCCCGCCTCTCGGTAAGTTGTTAAGTTTCGTTTTTCCCCCCACTCTTTATTTATTGCGCAGGAGTTTTTCTTTTCGCTATTTTTTGTAAATTATGAATTTTCCTTCAGCTGTTTTCAGCTTCTCAATGACTGACTGCGCTCATCCTCCACTGGCTCATCCTGGAGTCTCTCAGATGACTGTTGGCGTTATAAAAGCCCAACGCTTCATTGCACAAACATAGTGGAGGACCGGAAGGCAGTCAGGCAGGCATCGTTTATTCTAAAGGCCTAAAGGGGCCGGGAACGGCGAAAGGCATGGTATCGGAAAGCGTTCGCCACTTAACAGAACACACAACTAGGCTTGCGGTGAATACTCGGCTCAAAAGTTAAGGTCCTCGAGGAAGAGGGGCGATATCATTTCTGCATACGTGGGCATAAAATACCTACGGGAATCTTTCTAGAGAGTCTGTGGTAAAGGCAAAAACTCAAAATGAAATTAATTAATACAATACAAACAAGAAACGAAAGCCTAGGAGCAAAGAAAGTCTAATCAAGCCTTTCAAGAACATAACAGTTGGCGCAACCAAAGCTAAGGACTAAAATAAGGGAAAATATATTTATATTCCCAATTATTTTGTTAGGCTGGGCATAAGTAAACATATGAATCTTTTCTTGTAAATAGAAAAGGTTTATGTTTTCCTCTTGAAACTACCAAACTCAATAAAGTAAAGTTAAAAAACAGAAATGAACGCTATAATCAGTTATCAGTTTCCTAAAAACTTCTAAAATAATAGTCCGATTAAAAAAGTTTTAATGTGTCGATAGATATTGACCGAGTAAACAAGTACAAGCGCCTAGTCTTATTTCTGTCTTCTTTCTTTTGATCACAAACAATAGATTGATTAATTTTTATAATAAAAGTCATACAATAACAGTTAAATGAATCTTATATCTTTATACCCTTGCAGACGGTATTATAATTTCAGTCAAAAGTTTACAACGCAGTGAAGAAGACATTTTCGATCTAGCCATGTCCGTCCGTCTGACTGCCCGTCCCTTTCTACGCAAACTTGTCTCTCAGTTTTAAAGCTGATTGAAACTTTCCCTAAAGTGGTCTTTCTATTGCAGGTAGCATATAAGTCGGAACGAGCCAGATCGGGCGACTATATCATAAAGCTCCCATAGGAACAATCGGAAAAAAATATTCCAAAAAATTATAAATTTGTTGTTTTTAATTTTTTTTGTTGTTTGGGATTTGGTAATATTTAAATATTATATAATTAGGGTTTTAATTAGATTAAAATCAGACAACAATATTATATAGCTGCCAGAGAAACGATGGCAAAATGCAGCGCAAAGTCGACCCAGCTTCATTGTTTTTAGTAATATAGGCATAGAAATCCACTGCCAGTGTATATAAATTTCGGCTTGCCGAAGTTTGCTTCTTTCTTGTTTTAATTTAAAAACAAGAGAGAACGCTATAGTCGAGTGCCTCGACTTTTAGATACCCGTTACTCAGCTAAATAACTTTAGATTTTGCATTAACATAATGTGAATTAGAGTGACCACAGGAAAAAAGTTCAAAAAGTTCAAATTATCAATTTGAATTCGGCGATCTCTTAGAGCTGGCAGCTTTACTGCACGAGCATCAGCACGAGCGCTGATTTAGCGCAGGCAGCTTTTGTCCTGCACCAGCATACACACATATGCCATTGTTTGACTCAGACCTCCAATTTGGCTAACTTGATTTGATTTGCATAGTTCTTGGGATATAGTTCGGTATTGACAAATGAAAACCATCGCAATTTCCTTTAATAGAAATCCTTATCGAGAATTAACGTTGACTCTGTTGAGCACCTTGGCCAGCTGTTCCAAAGTCATCCGTTAGATGGCGCCATGAAAGCCGGAAATGTAGGAGCTAGCCAGGCTTAAGCGTTTAATGGGTTTTTGGGCGTTAGAGTGGGCGTGGCAAACTTTTATTACGCCAATCGATAGGTATTGACGAAACAAATACATATCAATTAAAATTTTCATAATAGCATCAAAACTGTGGCCACAGCTTGTGGCTTGTGGGCGTCAGAGGGGGCGTGGCACCATTTTGACACAAACTTGCGCTGCGTAGGAACTCCTAAAATCTACATGCAAAATGCCAATCTTCTAGCTTTTATAGTTTCCGAGATCTCAGCGTTCATACGGACAGACAGACGGACAGACGGTCAGACGGACATGGCTAGATCGACTCGGCTAGTGATCCTGAACAAGAATATATATACTTTATAGGGTCGGAAACGCTTCCTTCTACCTGTTACAACCTTTGGCACGAATACAATACGAGTAACGGGTATAATAAACGTTATTTTTTTAAGATTTATAAAGTCATTAAAGAAATGTTCAGATCACTTTAATTTTATCGAAAAAACGAGTTGTCAAAAACTGGTAAAAAATGTTTATAAGAAGAGTTTACTGTTAAGTTAAAAGATTTTTTGTAAAGCAAAATTACTTCATATAATTTTTAAACAAATAGATTTTATTGGCTCAAAAAAAGCTTGTGAAAGTAATATAATCAACAAAAAACCATCTTAATTCAATGATAAATGGTCGTTGGTTATTTTTATCGCAAACTGTCATTTTAAGAATTCTGCTGAGATTGGAAGCTGTATAAGCATTCCGACAAATTCTTTAAAATTACTATATCAATTGTACGATCAAAGAAAGGAAATGGAAATCGTGTCGCCTTGTTCCCAGTTCCGCCTTTTAACAACAATTAAAGAAATTAAAACTTAGGGAAAAACACCCGTTTCCGAAAGATAAAAGAAGCCATTTAATTAGCATCCTATATGAGTAACCGACTCGCCCAAGGCGTAGTTGTATCTGGCCCATCTATCAATCAAAATACCGATAACGGTAGATATCAATTTTGTGACAAAGGGCTTCATATAAAGGCCAGCGCACTTGCGACACATTCATTCAAGCTTATTGGTCTGTGCAAGTCTTATTATTGTGCAAGCATAAGAAGTACCAAGGAGCCTCACAAAGGAATAGCTGACATTAGAATGAATTTTTTAATAGGTATGACTCGGAAAAATTCTAAAAAGCCGCAGCCGAAACCGCGAACAAAGGACTAACACATCTCTCACTTACAGTACTTACCTGCGCTGCACTTTTGGTGGCCAGCACCAATGCCGCCAGTGTACAGCCAGGCGTTAAAGCGATCAACAATCAACTCTATCGGCGATACGTGTGTGCTCATAAGTCTGATGGATTCCGCGCTTTGGTTCCCGGCAGTTGCTCCCAGTACTACGAGTGTCAGTCAGGAGTGGCCCTGGTAAACACCTGCTCACGCTTCTTCGACGCGAAGGCTCAGGGATGTGTCAACTACAACACGGGCTGCATTGAGGCTCAGCCTGCTTCAGCCGGCCAGAAACCTGTAGGCTCTGTTGTAGTGCCTTGTGCAGAGGATACAACGACATGCGCGCCAACAGCAGCTCCCACAACCCCCTGTGCAACTGAGCCAACTCCCTCCACCACTACTCCCTGTGGCCCAGTGACCACTACACCCTGTGCCCCGGAGACCACTACACCCTGTGCCCCCGAGACCACTACACCCTGTGTCCCAGTGACAACTACACCCTGCGCACCGGAGACCACGACACCCTGTGCCCCGGAGACCACGACACCCTGTGCCCCGGAGACCACTACACCCAGTGTCCCAGTGACAACTACGCCCTGCGCTCCGGAGACCACGACACCCTGTGCCCCGGAAACCACTACACCTACTGTCCCAGTGACAACTACACCCTGTGCCCCGGAGACCACTACACCCAGTGTCCCAGTGACAACTACACCCTGCGCACCGGAGACCACGACACCCTGTGCCCCGGAGACCACGACACCCTGTGCCCCGGAGACCACTACACCCAGTGTCCCAGTGACAACTACACCCTGTGCCCCGGAGACCACTACACCCAGTGTCCCAGTGACAACTACACCCTGCGCCCCGGAGACCACGACACCCAGTGTCCCAGTGACAACTACACCCTGTGCCCCGGAGACCACTACACCCAGTGTCCCAGTGACAACTACACCCTGTGCCCCAGAGACCACTACACCTAGTGTCCCAGTGACAACTACACCCTGTGCCCCGGAGACCACTACACCCAGTGTCCCAGTGACAACTACACCCTGTGCTCCGGAGACCACTACACCCAGTGTCCCAGTGACAACTACACCCTGTGTCCCAGAGACCACTACACCCAGTGTCCCAGTGACCACTACACCCTGTGCCCCGGAGACCACTACACCCAGTGTCCCAGTGACAACTACACCCTGTGCCCCAGAGACCACTACACCCAGTGTCCCAGTGACAACTACACCCTGTGCCCCGGAGACCACTACAACCAGTGTCCCAGTGACGACTACACCCTGTACCCCGGAGACCACTACACCCAGTGTCCCAGTGACAACTACACCTTGTGCCCCAGAGACCACTACACCCAGTGTCCCAGTGACAACTACACCCTGTGCCCCGGAGACCACTACACCCAGTGTCCCAGTGACCACTACACCCTGTGCCCCGGAGACCACTACACCCAGTGTCCCAGTGACAACTACACCCTGCGCCCCGGAGACCACAACACCTTGTGCCACAAAGTCTACAACTATAACGACACCCTGTGTAACTGAGCCAACTCCTTCCACCACTACACCCTCTGCCCCAGTGACCACTACACCCTGCGCCCCGGAGACAACGACACCCTGTGCCCCGGAGACCACTACACCCTGTGCCCCGGAGACCACTACACCCAGTGTCCCAGTGACAACTACACCCTGCGCCCCGGAGACCACTACACCTTGTGCAACAAAGTCTACAACTATAACGACACCCTGTATAACTGAGCCAACTCCTTCCACCACTACACCCTGTGCCCCAGTGACCACTACACCCTGTGCCCCAGTGACTACTACACCCTGTGCCCCGGAGACGACCACACCCTGTAAACCAGATACCACAACACCATGTGTGCCAGAAAGCACAACTGCCTGCAGCGGAACCCCCGATGCCTCAAAGGCTAAGCCCGCTTCTGTGAAAGTGCGACCAGCAAGACCGGGTCGACCTGCCACACGCCCTGTATTGAAAACTGAGCAGTTGTCGGCTCTTGAAACCCATCAGCAAAGTATTTCTACCTACACAAAGTTTGTCTGCCGCAATAAGCCCGACGGCTTCATGCTGGCTTCCCTGAAGAGCTGTTCCGACTACTACATTTGCCGTTATGGAAAACCTTTATTGGTTAGCTGCGGCGACAAATACTTCAACGGCCTCAAGGGAATGTGCGATCTGCCAGAGAATACGCGATGCGTGCAGCCCCAAGCATAAGGACTCATAATTCAAAAAATCATCTCCGATAAAAGCACTTCCTGACCGAACCTTGATATTTGTGCCGGGTTGATCCTTGTTTTTTTATGTTTAATAAATTCCAAATAAATGCAAATGCTAATAAAAGCTAAAAATTTAGATTGACTCTTAAGAACAATACACAAAAGACAAATAATTTATAATTTATCTTACATGCTCCCACAAAACGACTCTTTTTGACTCTTTCTCGTCTTATGAGAGCGGATCAATGGAAATCTATTCTCATATATTCCAGACTTTCCTTAATTCAAACAGCTTACTTGGTTATGATTTGTTTTACTAGTTTAGAACCAACAAGTTTACAGTAATTAATAATTGTCAGCTAATTCGGGATAAAATTTTGTATTCAAGTCACAATAATAGTTTACATTCTAAATTTAAAAGTTAATTGTAATATTACTTGTATTTTTAGTTTTTACACCTCAAGCCGTCTTAAAGTGCTGGTGCACTTGACTTCCAGCTAGCAAAGAAATACGAATGAAGTAACTGTAGAAATGCTCCTGTGAAATGCGGTCTAACTTTTCCATGTTAGCATTAAGAGTTTTGGTTCATAGCGCGCTCATACCGATTGGGAATTATAAAGAAAAACAATAATACACATACATTTTTCCAGTTACCAATTTTGATGGTATTTTACTATAAAATACTAACCTTGACATAGTATTAAATACATTTTTATTAGTCACCATAATAAGGAATCTTAGTGCTAATTGACATGTTTATTGAAGTAAGGAAGGAAGCAAACAAAAATGTTAGAAAAATGAAACAAGCCGGATCGGGCGACTTTTATCACAACATATAGCTCCTATAGGAGCAATAGGAAAAAAATTTAAACAAGAAAAGCACCAAACTTCGGCAAGCCGAACTTTATATACCCTTGCAGTTATTAGTAAACTACTGCATTGTAATTTCAATGCCTATATTACTAAAAACAATGAAGTTGTCGATTTTGCGCTGCATTTTGCCATTGTTTCTATGGCAGCTATATGATATTGTTGTCTGAATTTGGCAAAACTAAAATCGTAATTCTGATATAGTAAATAATTACTATATCTCAAAGGAATATTTGGATAAATAGAAAAACGGCAATACAATTTTTTTAATTTAATTTTTTTTTTTTATTTTTTAAATTTTCTATGGGAGCTATATGATATGGATGTCCGATTTTAATTTAATTAAAACCGTAATTCCATAGTATTAAAATATTATTTTTATACCCTTGCAGAGGGTATTATAATTTTGGTCAAAAGTGTGCAACGCAGTGAAGTAGACATCTCCGACCCTATAAAGTATATATATTCTTGATCAGGATCACCTCCTGAGTTGATATAGCCATGTCCGTCTGTCCGTCTGTCTGTCCGTCTGTCTGTCCGTCTGTCTGTCCGTCCGTCTGTCTGTCCGTCTGTCTGTCCGTCTGTCTGTCCGTCTGTCTGTCCGTCTGTCTGTTTCTACGCGAACTAGTCTCTCAGTTTTAAAGATATCGAATTCAAACTTTGCACACACCCTTCTTTCCTTTGCACGCAGTATATAAGTCGGAACGGCCGGGATCGGCCGACTATATCCTATAGCTGCCATATAACTGATTGATCGGAAATGCCATAACTTTGGTGTTTGTAAAGTTAGGAAGTTGGGATTTTCTATGGGTTTTATATTTGGCCAATCAATCCGACGTACCAAATTTCATAAGGATCGGTCGACTATATCCTATAGCTGCTATATAACTGATTGATCGGAAATGCCATAACTTTGGTGTTTGTAAAGTTAGAAAGTTGGGATTTTCTATGGGTTTTATAGTTGGCCAAATAATCCGACCTACCAAATTTCATAAGGATCGGCCGACTATATCCTGTAACTGCCATATAACTGAACGATTGGAAATGCCATAACTTTGGTGTTTTTAAAGTTAGGAAGGTGGGATTTTTTATGAGTATTAAGAATGCATCATATGAATAATTTTGGAGAATATAATTTACAGAGTATTCTGCAAGGGTATATAAACTTCTGCTCCGCCCGAAGTTAGCTTTCCTTTACCACCTTGGCTTCGCAAACAGCTAACAGGACAATTTGTTACTAACGCCAGGCTTTTCCCCATTAAAAAACAAAAATATTTATACGGCCAAATTTTAATGAGTACAACGGATATTTACTTTTTTTCGTATTTCAGTTCATCCAATGTGTTAATGTAGAGCACCCTAAAAGAAAAAGGATTCTGATTAATTTACATCAAGCTGTGCACATTTCAAATTTTTGTAAGGCCTACATTTACTGGCGAACTTCAATGGGGCTTCGAAATTGGAAGGCAAGACTCGCACCGTAGGCGGCCAATAACAAGCACGAAAAATGTTGTAATAAAGCCAGCACACACGGCACTCTCCGCGTCCTTTTGGCAACGCCAACTCGTGCTACGACTCTAAAATAAAATTTGCTTTACCCCTTTGCAACTGAAGAATTCAAATTAGAGTTTTGTTTACAATCGAACGCCATCGCCAGCCCTCTTTGTACAAAAGATTTATTGAATTGCTCTGGCCTCCACCCCTCCCTACACTCATCCACCAAGTCGGTGAAATTTTTATTGCCAACGCCCGGTGTTTTTTTTGTTTTGGCCCTTAAGAAAATTTCAATTCGCACAGCCTCCCCTCACATGAACGGGCAAACTCACCTGTAGTACAATTTTCGAGGCAATGGCTCCCACGTTCCTGAAACCCTTCTGAAGTTTAGCACGTGTACAGGCCGTACGGCCAACAGGCAGGCCCACTTGGTCCGCAGCCTTTGGGCCCACCGCAGCAGGAGTAGCTGCAGGGTCCCAGCGACAGGGCACAAGGACCACACCAAGGTCCGCACCAGGGTCCGCAGGGTCCCGAAGGTCCATAGCCATAAGGACCGCACCCATAGCCACCACACATGATTCTGCCGCTGATGCTATCGATGAGGTACGGAATCACATTCCCAGTTGATTGTTTACACACTCACCTAAACTCCACGGATAAAGAAACTGAATAACTTTAGGTGGAAACTTTGAATTTAGATAGTGAATTTTTATTCAGAGATTTTCAGTCCTTTCTATGGCCTGACCTGAGAGCTCCAGATAAAAATTACAACTGAATTGATCAGGTATGGGAAACCCGCTTTAGTACATTTCTCGGTTCGAAGTTTGTTTCATAGTTTACTACGGACATTTTTAAAGCCTTACTCGGCTATAATTTATATACCCTTGCGGAGTGGTTTACCGAGCATTTCGGACCCCATAAACTAAACCATGGTAGCTTTATAATATAGTCGTCAAATTTTTCAAGATGTACTAAATTTACGTTATCTCGGATATGATATAGTCGTCCGATCCGGTCAGAGAGCTATAAAACTGCGAGACTAGTTTGCGAAAAAAAAATGAGCCAGCAAATGAAACGCGTGATCGACCCAATATATTGGAAATAAAGGTCAATGGATCGCTTAGCAAGACAGTCAAAAGAACCCTTTGACGTCTGCTCCATATCTAAAAAACTTGTTACTTAAATGCAACGTTTCAAAACTTATTGTTTTGCGGTTTCTAGTAAACCTCTGCGGGCACTACTATTATTTTGAGAGCAACTGTATATACTTTATAGGGACAACTATCAATACATTTGGGTATGTGTTTAATGGCTCTTATCGGTACATACATTAATTTGGTTAATTTCAAATTTATGTGCAACGACTTTTGTATTTTACTGAATGGCGTTTTAAAATGAACGAACAACATTGTTAACACATAACAGACAATCGTGTCCTCCACTAATTTACTTATCTCAGGAACCTTCTTGACAGGTGTCTTACAAATTGAAAACAAAAAATTATACCTAAGTGCAAAAAAAGGATAATTTCTTTTTGTTCTTTGGGATTTGATAATACTTAAATTCTATGAAATTGAGGTCTTAATTAAATTAACTCTAATAAAAAATAAAAAAATTTAAAAATTAAAATTTAAAAAAAAATGTATGCTTTTTTTTATTTATTAAAAGATTCCTTTTGTTTAAACTATTTTTTCGATTATTCGTACGGCAGCGATAGGATCTGCCTGTTCCATATTATATAACCATCAATTAAAAACTATTTGGAAAGTTTTATCCAGATATCATAAAGTCTGAGGCACTAGTTTGCGGAGAATCGTACGTTCAGACGGACATGGCTATATCCACTTAATTAGTGATGCTGACCACTATATTTAAGTTATAGAGTTGAAATTGTATCCTTCACTGTAAATATAATACCCTCTGAAAGGCTTTAAATGGTTAAAAAACCTGAATATTAAATTTTGGGTAATGAGCAGCTAAGAAAGAGTTGATTGAACAGTTAGAAAATTAAATGCCGCAGTTCCCATTAAAATCAACGAGCCGAGTGTTAAATTGAATAATACAATAACAAGGAAATCAGGGATCCTTAAATTTCAGAAATTGAAATGAAGGAAGGCCGCGAGGAGGGCAGGGCTCCAATCAAAGCCAGCTCCAGCTCGGTGGTGGGTTCAACGAGCTCGGAACCGGCGAAGCGGAGGATGGGATAAGGGCAACAGCTGCCAGGATCTCCCCTTTCCCTGGGGATAAATTAGTGGTTTTGGTCTCTAATATAGTCGTCTATGCCCCTGCCATTTGCCATTTGTCATTTGTCACCCTTAGCGCCATCCCCTTGCCGCACTGATTTAATATTTATTTTATTAATTCAAAATTAACATAAAAATTTCGGAAATATTTTGACACTTGGCATTGCTACGAGGTTGCGACTGTGCCCAAAAGCTTACTTGGGGTGGCTTGTTATTATTTTGACACTTGCCAAACAATTGGCATGCGGAATGAAAGCCCAGCTGCCTTAAAGGAACAACAAAAAGAACAGAAGGACGACGGTCTGAGAGAAAATTTTATTATGGAATTTCGTAAATTAAATATTTACACGACAGCTGTGCGAAAGTCTTAAGCTTGCTCGGCACCATTCAAAAGTGTACGTAGCTCTCCATCCCCTAACATTCCACCATTGATTCAATATTTTGCTTGGGCAATAACTGAATTTAATAGATGGCTGGGAAATTTCTTGGGCTCTTCTTTCGGGATTAAGGTGTTGCATAGGCCAC